ACATCTTGGTGGCATATCAAGCAATAAATTACTCGGTGTCTCCTAAGGATCTCGATAAATGCATCCTTATGATATACATTAAAAGCTTCACTTTCTAGAAAAAAATTATCAACATCGCCTTTGGTCACAGGAGTTTGATGGGTAATCTCGTTGATCTCGTAACCCATTCTCGTAGATTATTCAGATTGAGGGGTTCTTGTTGGATGCTTTTGACCACCTAGAAATAACATGTACAAGACTGCTTAAGGTCACTGTGAACAATGATTGCCACTCTATTGCATGGGAACTTCATAGCTACATGGTAGATAAAGGTGAAGACATATAAATAATTGAGTGGGGATGACTAAAAATAACATTTTAGGTAGAAGTTAGTCAACCACTATGAAGTCCGTCATGTTGGTTAAATGCTTGTCCTTTTCTCCCCAAATAACCAATAAAGTGATGGTTCCTACTACCTCCTTTCTCTCCTAGGACCCATCTTTTTGAACACCAAATTGAAGAGCATGTTCGCAGAGCCACTAGTGTCGATGAGGATGCTACCAATCTAGTAGTTGGTAATCATTGCAATTGCGGCGATAGTGCCATTATAAAGGTTACCAAGTTTTTGTTCTTGAAGGTTATTTGAGGATGTGAGCTTCATTTGGGTATGAGAGTTGTTGCACAGTTCTCCCAACAGAAGGCTCTTCAAGTTACCTCGGCAGAATGAGTCTCCATTTCCTCCAAAGATGGTGGGAACTACACCAATGATATGGATTTCGTGGACTCAAATTGGCATGTCTGATATTTCGTAAACTGGAGCCTTCCCTTGTCACTACGCCATTGCTTCTGGTTCCACAAATTCCTTCAATTTCCCAACTTTGATCATATCTTAGATCATGCCCCAGAGGTGTCGACACTCTTGTGATTGTGGTTCCTGTGGTTGACACAAAGTTTGTTTGGATCTCAAAGGTAAGCTTTGATCCTCATCAAAGGCTCTCTTCTAAAATAATATTTATTTTGTATGGCTTCTACTATCTCGACCATTGAAACTCTCAACAGAGTTGATTTAGGTATTTTGTGGTTGGATAGCGAGCACTTTTCATACCAAGTTAGACGTTGGCTAGGATATCGGTCTTGAATCCCTCGGCGGTTCAATCTATCGGTTGCCCTATAATCTTGGGGTAGTTGAGCCTCTTCATAATGAGGATAAACAAAAGGATGTGAACTGCATCTCAGTCTCTACCTTTCGCTTTGGGCAATACTATTTTACGGGTGACGATTGGAGGAATCCACTTTGGAGGAGGCAGAGTTAGAGTAATACTCCTTGGCCTATATGTGGTTGTTAACTAGCTCCAACATCTAAGCTAGTGTCTTTGGTCACTATAGGCTCAACACATATCAGAAGAGTTCTTCTTCATAAAATGCTTTCCCTAGTTATAGGGGAGAGGGTACAATGATGTATTATATTTTTACCATTGTTTGGAAAGTGTCTGTACTAGAGTATTTCTAGTATTTTACTTATATAAGTTTATCGTCTGACGAATTTTTGGCTTGACTGACTAAGCTTAGTTGATTTTGGGTCATTGGGATCAACTCGCTCTACCGAGCTTGGTTGACCTTGGCCGATTGACTAATCAAGCCTGGTTGTCAAACCTCAATCCTCGGGGAACATCCTATAAGGCGTCCATGGGATGGTTAGAGATGTTGTGGAGCTACATTTCCCTTTGGGTCGTCTCTATCGGAGTGTAAGCTATTGTATCGGGTCGTTTTCCATTTAACGGCTAACTCGAATGTTCTTTTGTTTCATTTTTGGTCAAAGGACATTTGCTTGCATCATCCGACCATCTTCTTGTCCACCTCATGGTTCTATCGGAGTGTAGGCTATCGTATCGGGTCATTTTCCTTTTAACGGCTAACTCGAATGTTCTTGTGTTTCATTTTTGGTCAAATGACATATGTTTGCATCATCCGACCATCTTCTTGTCCACCTCATGGTCCAATCAGCTTTGGCATTATTAGTTTAACTTGCATAGCTTTGCTTTGTCGGTCAAGTCGGCCTCACAATCTTCTGATAGCAAACCTCGTGATTTTCTCACAGTGGGCCAACCTCGTTCTACTATTCACTTCAATGCTGCATATTTTCTATGTACATTTTATATTTGGGTCATATAAATACATAACACCCGTTTCCTATTTATTTACATAAATAATACCTAAACTTTACTTTTTTACATTTATAACAACCAAATCTTTCATATCACAACAAAAATGTCACCATTTTAACTTGAAAAAATGGCATGCACATTTTCATACATTGTTAAGGTGGTATTTATGTAAAAATTGAAGCATAGGTGTTAGACAAGTAAATACATAGAAATTGAGTGGTATGTATGGAAACCTTCATTTATATCTGTACCACCAAATTTTTCATATCAAATGAAAAAAAAAAAAAAAAATCTACTATTTTATTTTTTAAAAAATAGGGAAATAACCCTTTAAAAATAGTGTAATAAATCTTTTCATGCATTGATAAGGTGGTATATATGCAAAAATTGAATCTTGGGGGTTAAATATGTAATTACATAGGAATTGAGTGGTATGCAAGAATATCTTCCAAGAATTAAATACTGATTACCACTAACAATAAAATTGCAACATTTTGTAAAACTCTACAAGCTAGTGAACAATAGGAAAAACATGACATTTAGAACAAATTTATTTGTCTTTTATTAAAGAAGAAAAGGATGCAAAGAGCCAAAGTCTTAGTTACATAAAGGAGAACTTGATACTCAAAGAAACTCTAAAGATGATTAAAAGCAAAATACCATGAAGAAATAGAAAGAAAACTAATGATAGCAAGAGTGTAAAATAAAACACTGGCGAACTTATTGGTGGACGGATATCACAATTTTTTATATGATAGAAACTGTATACAAAAAATATGTCAGCACAAATCATAAAGCAAACAAACAATTTAGAAGGAATGCACTGCTGATCAGACGGACTGAAAACTAGTGAATAAGGCATTTAGATTGAACGACCGAAAGACCGTGCCAGAGAGCTTCTCATAGGACGATGGCCGGCTTTTAGACCGATCGACAAGTACCATTGGAGTCTAAGCGAGACGAGCGGTTGACGAAGTTCTTACTAACCGAATCAATTCATCAATCTTATTATATTCAAGTATCTTTGTAAATACTAAAAATGCTAATAATGATGAGGGGACTGATATGCAATTTTGTAAGAGAGACATATTCCCATCAATAGGTGGTTCATATCTTGAGATGACATTTTCTATCTTAGGGACTGGCCATGCTAATCCCTCTTAGGATCATTATTATAACCCCTAATGCTAAGACCCAGATGTTATATAATATGCTAGAGAATCATTTAAATCATTATACACCTAAATTGAAACAAACCTTTGTTATTATACTTAATTGCTCTCATTTCTCATACATGACAAAATTAATTAGACCTTAATTAAATAACCACCAAACTAACTTAGCACATATTAGATACTTTAATAGCCTTAACCTCAAACATAAAAGGAAGTGATCAAAATTAGGATTATATTTCTTTATTGATTGATAGAGTAATGCAATGATGGGCTAATAATATTATTGGTGCCATAAACTTGTACATATATAAGCATGAAATTTTAGTTGATAGATGTAAATAGGTAAGAATTGTATGTGAACCCATGCAATCCCTTAATTAAATTACTTATTCTTATAGAAATTCATCTTATACTTTTTAATCATGATTATTGCTGTTGCTGTCAAATAATCTAGTTGTATCGATTAATAGTTTAATTATATCTTCATTTTATACTTAATTATGTTATCAAATAATTTAATTATATTGAAGGTGGAACGTGATGCAGAAAATCAAGATTGTTGAATATAGCATTAAATTATTATACGATAACATTTTATAAAGGTGTAATGGGATACATTTTATACCTTAGAGGAGACAACAAGATTGTTGAACAAGATTTTGACAAGAAGATTTAGGGTCTGTTTGGGGCAGCTGTAGCTTATTGAATAATCTGCTGATAAACTGATTAAAAATAATCTGTTGATAAGCTAGGTAAGGTAGCTATTACAAATTTTTATTTTTATGTAAAAGTCAAACCACAGTGAGAAAGCTGTCACCGCATCTAGATAGGTGTGGTGTGAAAGTACTATTTTCAACATTTTGAAAACGCACAAGCTGTCGAAACGCAGCTTATCCAAACAGGTCAGGTGCGTTTTTAGAACGTCACCGCACCAAATAAGCTACCCACACGGGCCCTTATTAGGAAAAGGATTAAATATTCATCTTTTTCTAATTAAAGTTGCAGCAAACCACCGCTCATAAGTCATATTTACATAACCATACATGGGGTAACTTTGAATTATATAATTAAGACAATTATGACATATATAAATAAATAACCACCGCACCCGGAGCGAGATCGTTCGACGTGCGCATTTATGTTCCTTTCGTCAGCGTAAAGGGGTGTTTGGTAGTGATACATCACCAACAAATTTTTATCATCCGGCATGAATCTCGATGCAATATTTTGAGCAAGAAACATTCATACTTCAATTAAAAGTCATCCATAACTTCGATTTCAACAAATTTATAGTCAAACTGACCAACTCGATGAGACGAACCTAATGATGTCAAAGTCAGTCTAATTCAAGTCGAAGCCCAGATCAAGTGATTAAATCATTCTTGAAAGTTTTTAGGACACATTTGAAAGATCAAACGAATATCAAGTTAAATTTAATATTTATTTTTTTGGTTTATTAAATTCATTTATAGGTTAAATTTATTAGATTAGGCACAGGAAAAAAAATATTTTAAATAGATTTATCAAATACAACAAATAAATTTAATTGAGTTTAATTTTAATTGAATTAAACATTACTTTAAATGTAATAATGTTTAAATTTAGTAAATTAGGATTTATCGAATTTAATAAAGTCTATTTAACTTGAATGCTGGTCGCAAGCAAACACGTCTAAAGAAAACGGTAACAGTTTCCGTCGATTCGTCTGGATCGCCGGAGGGCCCTTCGATCCCGATTTCTTTGATCTAGGGTTAAGACCGGGAGACCAGTGTTTCTCCCGATTAGGGTGGGATTTGAGCAAATTTCTTAGATCTCTTCCATCTCACATACCGAATCAAGCGATTGAGCTAGGGTTTCTCGACTTTCTGATCTTTTTAGAGTTTCTTTGCTAGGAATCATGAACGATCCGTCGCAGATGCTGAACCCCGGAACTTTGGGATGTGGCAGCCGCAGCCACAAGCACCGCTTCCACCGCTCCCACCACTTGCACCGCAGCCAACAACTGCCTCCGTGACGGAGGAGCCGATGGGGTTTCAAAACCCTAGACCGGTTTTCGCTCCCACCGGCGCGAAACCAGTGAGAGCCAACTGGAATAGCAACAAGCGGAATAAGGTTGCTGCGGGAGCCGGAGCCGGAGTTGTTCCCGGCGGGTTACCACCTGCCGGCGGCGGCGGCACCGGAATTTCAGGGTACAGACCCCCGACTTTAACGGAGCTACAGTATCAGAACCGCTTAAAGGCTAGGCGCTTCTACCCAAAGAAAAAATTTAGTCGATTCGCCCCATTTGCCCCACGAAACACCACTTCTTTCATTATTCGTGCTAAGAAATCAGGCGGGATTGCTTCGCTGGTTTCGCCTTGCCCTGTGACGCCGGCGATCCTCCCGACCCCAACCTTCTCCCCCTCTAGAGAGGGACTGGTTGATATGGCTAAGGAAGAGTGGGGCGTGGATGGATATGGATCCATGAAGGGTTTGATACGTCTCCGCTCCCCAACTGCTGGTGGCAGCCGGAATAACGTTGGGGTTGAAGATGACGATGATGATGAGGATGGATCAAGCGAGAGTGATGTTGAGGAGCACGTGGAGGTAGAAAGACGGCTAGACCATGACCTCAGTAGATTTGAGATAGTGTACCCGAGCTTTGTTGAAGAACAAGGTGGCGCTACTTCTTCAGCTTACTTGCTGGAAAACCGAGTTGATGATCAGGACTCTCACATTGCTCAGCTGGAAGAGGAAAACCTCACACTGAAAGAGAGGCTTTTTTTGATGGAGAGGGAGATGGGTGAGCTTAGGAGGAGGCTACTGCTGTTGGAGACTGACTATAGATTGCACAATGAGAGGAACAACGACAACAACAACGAACAACATGGTGACCATGATGATAATTTGAATATGAAGGAGGCGTCGGAGAATGAAGGTGGAGGTGATGTGTGCTCGGAGAAGAGCGTTGGAGACTATGAAGAGAGCTGCGGAATTGCCCAGCAGGAGTGAAGGGAGTTTACTCGACCATCTGTTCTTCCTGTACATATTTTCAGTTGACATTACCTTCAAACTTTTCATGCTTTAATTAATGTTTTTGTTGCTCTTTGGCTTTTGCATTCGATGTCTAGTGTTAGACTAGTAATCTGTAGTGATGCTTTTATGAAAAGCAGCTTATGTTTAGGTCAGAAATAATGTCTTCTTATCATCATCATCTTTTCTTTCATCTAAAGACCATACCTTCGATATTAGTGTTTGCTATTTAGTCTCAAAAAGCTTCTGAGAAGGCTGCTAAGTCCTATAATGATGCATAACATCACTATAATTTAATGATTAAGAGGCTTTCTGGTACAGATTTAAGTTGAATTTAACTTAGATATCGGGCACAGAAAAAATGACAACTTTTAAATCTTACATTTAGTAAATCTAATGTCTTCTTAATTTTCTCTCATGTTTGCGTTAAATCTAGGATTTACTAAATCCTTGTGTTGATAGGATTTAATAAATCCAGATTTACAAAGTTTACTAGATCCATTATTGAACAGCTCCTAAGGCAAGTTATATATAATGCATGGTAACCGCTTAACGTTCTTAGATGATTTGTAAAGCACCATGATATATGTATATGTATATGTATGTATGTGTGCAAAGCTTCGCCTTAAGTCTCTCCTATGTGGGTCGAATTAACACATATGGGGTGGATAGATACATGTTTCCATCAATTTTTTTAATATATATATATATATATTTCTCATGCAGAAATCTGGCTTTTTCTGTTGTTTTTGTCTGATGATTATTGTTAGTCATTTCAAATCCTGGAAAATGTTTTAGGGTGTGCTTTGTCGCCGTTTGATGATTTGCCGTTAAAACATTTTATATGTTAGGAATTAATGCTATTATTTTGGTGGGAAGAATTACATTAAATGCGTATATACGCATGCTCCATGCCTTGGTTCAGGTTCTCTGTTTGCATTTATAATGTATCTATCATTCAGGTATGTATAATCCATGAGAGGATTAGTGACTTGTTGATAAAAAAAAATATTTAATAAACTATCTCTCATCATTCTTACAAATTTTCACTTTATATTCTACATATATGCTGCATATTTGTTCAGATTATCGCCCTTTAATAGGAGAATTTCTACAAGCTGTCTTTCATTAAATTTCAAACGTTTTTTTTCTTTTTATTTTCCACCCAATAAATTCTGAGTAGGGAATTTCCTTCAAAGCTTTGGGGACGGTTCTCTTATGCCCAGTTTGTTACTGATTTTTATTTTTCAAATTAAAAAAAGTAATACAGATGCAAATAACATGGTCTACTAGATGAAGAAATATTACATGCAGACAATGTTGGTGTGGATTTGGTGATATTGTGGTGGTATTCACCTTAATACCGCCACAATATCATTAATCCGCACGTAATATTTCCTCACGACTGCTTTATTTTAGTATTTGGAAATAAAAATGTCAAAAGAAAACAGGAAATGTTTTGGTTTGGCTTTATATTGCTATTGAAAATCACAATTGCTTGATAAAAGTTCAAAAGAAAATTGTCTTTATTATCTTTGCTATAGTAATAATTGGCCAAATATTTTTGTTTTTTGTTTATTTATTTATTTATTGATTTTGCAAAGTTGCTCTTGCTATGCTTATACTTTCATTCTCAAGTATCTTCCATTAATAATATTAAGTTATGATGACCTGCCATTTTCACCCCTTCATGTATTTTTTGACATTCTTAGTTGCCAATTTAATCACACTTTTGTTGAGATTTTTATGATAAGGGTTTGATAAGAAGATTGTGATGGTTTAATATTTGAATGATGTTATATCATTTGATCCCACTATGCTTTGAGCAATCAAAGCAATTTCGCAGAGAGTTTAAATATTTGAAGGGAATATAAACTCTAATTCAAACTTTGGTCCAACCTTATTCGAATATGTTTGAATTGTGTTGAGAATATGTTGAAACAATGCTTGCACATTATTTTTACAAGTTTCACAAAGCTTTGAATGTTGTTTGTGTATCAATTTGAATGAAGTCAGCATACAATTATTAATTTCTGTTGAAAATGAAGTAATTGTCAGCATTCTTGAGTTCTATGGAGAAAAAAAAGGCTGATTGATTGGATATTTGTTAACTTTGGATTTTTAAGGATTGCTAATTCATAGTAATTTTATAAATGATGAAGCACTTTTGTGAAGCAAAGTTAATGATATTAGTCCCTTCTATCAATGTAAAAATGGCATGTGACGTTGCATTCCTCTTGAATAAGATATCTATATTTATTTAATTGTAATCTCTCATTAATGTGTCTATTATTCTAGAAAGATTTCAATTGTAAATAACAGTGCAATGAGAATGATATAAGGGTAGTTGAATTCTTCATGTTTCATTGATGCAAGATTTAAGATTTGAGTGTGATGTTGCTGTTGGCATATATGATGTAGACGAGTGTAATTTTGTGGAGTATGGGGATATATATATGAACTTGTAAGATACAAATGAAGGTGGTCTCATGAATGCTTTGATATTAAAGTATCTATTTGTTGGCATTGCCATTGAGTCTAGATCGTGAATTGAGTGGACATGACAAAAAAAAAAGAGTCCCAGAATACAATTCAATCATCATCAAAGTTATTCAAATAAGGTTCGTTTGCAAAATAAATTGAACCATTGTGTTTATAGCATTGAAATTACCAAGAAGCGGCTTCAGCAATCGAGTCATTCAAATGTGATAAAAATATTGACAAAGGATGAGATGCACACAAATTCGGCTCAAATTGTTTTGACAATCTTCAAAACTGCTCAAATGGTGCATGTTCATAAATCATATTGCATTGACATGGACAGAGAATCAAATTTGCTTTAAGAAAAAATCCCTCTATAATTGATTCAATCAAGCACAACAAAAATGACAGAGTGTTTTGACAATCTTCAAAACTGCTCAAGTGGTGCATGTTCATAAATCATATTGTATTGAAATGGCCAGAGCATCAAATTTGCTCAAGAAAAAATCCCTCAATAATTGATTCAATCAAGCACAACAAAAATGACAGACATCAAGGGTCTGTTTGCGGCAGCTGTAGCTTATTAAAATGTTGTTGTGCAAAAGTTGTGGCTATATGCTGCTGTAGATAAGTTGGTTGTCTGTTTATTTTTTACAGTTTTAAAACGGTCGTGTTGTAACTGTTTTTAGACAAATAATCACTTTACCCCTATACTGTAATGTTGTTTACAACAAAACAATTCATATAAATACATTTCATTCAATGTAAACAAAATAAAAATAGACATTATTAAACAGTGAGTGACATGACTCAAAATTTAAAAAAAAATGATCATTAAAATAATAATTAATAATATGATAATATTATTTTTAAAATGAAGAAAGTGTATGCATGACATAAGTCGTCCTTTGGGGAAACTCTTTACGCTTGATAACTCTCGTTGGTGGAATCTTCCAGTCCATCTATCCACCTGAAGTAGTCACAAATTTTTGTCATCCTCAATGAGAATATGTAAAACTGTCTTTCGTAGCTATGTGGCTGTCACGGTGTAAGTATAAAACATAGTAGTCCTCAGTAGCAGTGCAATACTCTGGAGGTACCGGAAATCTTCGAGCTCATTTTTCTTGAAGGCTTAAAAACACACACCCTTAGATATAACACTAGTAAAAATTAATAATAGAAGCAATCAATTAAAGTTTTATACAACTACGAGGTCTCAGATAACACAATATATAAACCAACCAATTTATCACCACAAAAAGACAACAAACCTTATAAAAAAAAAGTTCTTTGTTGTCTTTAACCCACATAATACGAGCTCTACTGAGCTCGTTTGTGTCACTTATGCATATCACCAAAAGTCATCCAAAACAACCTAAAAAATCAAGCACTGAAAAGGAGAGGAATTTGGTTGTCTTTATTGAGATTTCATATGTGACACCAATCAATAGCCACATGCAAGTCATCCAGCAAAACTCATAAGGTCGAACGTCTCATCATAGACCTAAAAAATCCACAAAAAATGCTATATTTACGATACATAAATTACCCATTGTTACCTCATCGTCCTTCCAAATGGGAAAAAATTATGCATAAAAAAAGAGGTATACATTACTTGCGTAAAAAAAACTGATACAATATATATCAAATGCATAAGAGACAGAAATATGAATAACTTATATAAAATACTGATATAATAAACAGTAAATGCTATGACGCATTACATATTTTCGACCAACGTCGACCAAAAACCGGATTCCAACATCAATTGGAAACCATCACCTATTTCCAAGTTATTGTATGTGGAATTCTTAAAAATCCCAAAATCCAACATCAACCGAAAACTATCGAAGGATAAGAGCACAGAGAACCCATGAAATTCTTGGACACATAAGCACTTGCAAAATCAAACCACAACATTTATGCTAAAGTAGAGAATACTGAAACAGAGGTAAAGCAAATGATGAAAAATAGCTACACGAAGAGGAACCACTGCACAGAGGGCAGATCAATTGATCCAAACAGAGCCGAAGAGCATATAGAGGAGAAATCACTGCAACAGTTAATCTAGAAGAGAGAGAGAGAAAGAGGTTGCACCGTATTTGCAAGAATCATGAGAGAGAGAGAGAGAGAGAGGAGTTAGAACAAGACTTGTGAGAGAGAAAGAGACAGTGAGATGGGTATCCCCGTCACAACATAACGAAGTAATGTGGGCCGTGGGGTCGAGCCTGCATCCTCATTGCCTCTCAATTAATCCCGAGGAACAGCCACACCACACTTTCCAAACGACTGACCCAATGTTTCAAAGCCGCACCGCGAAAAATAATCCGCCCTAAGGGGCACCAAGTTTGACACATGCGATTGTAATCTAATTGGCTTGTCCACCATCAAAATTATTTAAACTAACCTTCATTTGCAAAATAGACTAGATGAGCGCATTTGAAAAAGTGTCCAAAAATGATTGCTCATATTTCATTGTCCCCTTCAATCCCTCCTTTTGCAGCAGCAACCCGAAGCTGCATTGCTTTTCGTCCTCTCCTGTTCGCACTAACCTTCACAAACCCATGACTCCTACTCCTCATCTAATCTTCTTCGTACAAGCGTACAAGCTATACGCCTGCTCTATCCCAAAAAAAGCTCTTGTACGGCCTCTTCTCT